CCCCCCCCCCCCCTTTCCCATTCGACTGTCATCGGGGACCCTAATATAACCTAACAGTTGAACGGGGTTTCTTGGACGTGCCCGAGTGGTTCTTATCTGAATGGTGGCTTTGTGTGTCACCAGATGTTTGTCGTTTGACGTGCGGTCCTGATGGGGTTGAAGGTCACTCTTTCACTAAAGGATTTTCCTGTTTGGATTCCAGGATCCCATTTGGGGTGGGGGGGGGGGGGGTGAGGCACACCGGCCCCTAATAAGCAAACTGTAAAAGGTGACTATTAGGGTGTTTCCTTCAGAGACAGAGTGTGTCTGCCTGAGAGGCAGGAAGCAACAATCTGTGAATAAGAAAACTCAAGTTCTGAAACAAGACAAAAGTCCAGAAATGGACGAACAACCAGAGTGTATTGCCAGAGTCTACAATCCGTGAACAGTAAGAAAAAGTAACTAATGGATATTTAAGCTGCTGTTGATTTTGTATAATTTGAATAACTCTGTTTGGTTTTTTGGTAATGTTTTCTGGAAAATTATTCGTTCATTTTTACTAAAATATTTTATTTTTCACGTGTCTGGTCTTTTTTGTTTCCGTGTATAACATTGAATGAAGTGTTTATTACAGGAAATTTTTTAATTAACATGTCCTTTACAATTTTGTATAATTTATCTTATTATTTAATTTTGCAACAATGTGTCTGGCTTTGAATAATTGTGTTTGTTACTCTTTAAAGTGAGATTAATTTATTTGCCACAATGAATCCTTTATTTATTTTTTGCTATTTTGAATTGTAAAATTGTTTGTTATTTTGTTTTATCACCTGTTTTTGTTGTTATTGTTGTTACATGTGTGTCATTGCATAGTTTTTAATAATTTTGTTTTATAAATTTCTTGTCCTTTGGTTTTGTGACTGAAATATCATAGAATAATTTTGTTTCCTTGCCTCTGTATATGTAAATTAGTTTATTTTATGTTTGCTTATCCTTGATAAATGTTGTTGCTGACTGCATATTCACAATTTATTTGATTTTCTTCACATCAAACAAGAATGTCATTTTTAAAAATTTAACATATAACATTATAATGTTGTGTTTGGGAATCTACCTCACTGATTGAATTATTTGTTTGACCTATACCGTGCCCGTTTTTGTGGATTCACTTGCAATATTTTTATCTAATCATTTACTATCTCTGATATTCTGACATTGGAATGTGCTAGTTTGTGACATAACAACTGAGTTTAACATCTAAATATATGTTTGTATTTAACCTCTGAATTTATGGACGAATGGCTGAATTTAACATCTGAATATATGTATGTGTGTAACCTCTAGAACCTGAATTTGTGAACATTTAACATCTAAATGTATGAAGCCTGAATACAATTTTAACATGAAACAAAAGGTATTTTAAATCACATGAAGAACTTTTAGAACACTGCTTTACATGGTTCAAACATCGGTTCATGCTTGGTGTTTCACTGGATGAGCTTATTGTTTCGTATCTTTTTGATTTCATTTAATATGGTCATATCCTGCAAAGTTTGCCATATTGAACCTTACATCAGAACATGTTTTTGTGTATAGCTTGTGATGCCTCAATGATAACAGCATTGATGCAACAATAACTATGTTCTTGTTTCCAGCACGTCCTGTTCCTTCACTTTTTATGATGCCTAAGTTTGGTAAATATGTGAACACCCAAGAGTGATTCTCTTAACACCTTTTTTTTCCACTTGATAAATACCTCAGAGAAAAGCAAATTCTGGACATTTTGATCCTGAGTTTTCTTGTATATATCTTTTAATCTTCTCCCATTTGTTCATGGTTTATGCTGCTCTCAATCCTCTTTTTATCTGCTATTTCTGTTTTCCCTGCATTTATTTTTTGTTTTGTTATGCAGCTTTTACATTTTTGCATCCTGTTACATACAGATGTTTTTTCTCTGCTAGTTTTATCTTTAGTCATTTTTTTCCAGCTGTTGCATATGTTTCTATTATTTAATTATATTCTCTAGTCTCTCTCTCTCTCTCTCTCTCTCTCTCTCTCTCTCTCTCTCTCTCTCTCTCTCTCTCTCTCTCTCTCTCTCTGTCTGTCTGTCTGTCTGTCTGTCTGTCTCTCTCTCTCTCTCTCTCTGTGTTTGTGTCTCTCTCATTCTTTCTCTCTCTGTCGCTTTCCTTCTTGTTTTCTTTATCACCTTATCTTACTCTCTTCTGTCCTCTTTTCTCTACATTTTTTTTCCTGCTGTTAGTTTTATCTTTAGTCATTTTTATTTTCAGCTCAGTTGCACATGTTTCTATTATTTAATTATGTTTTCTAGTTTGTCTCTTTCTCTCTCTTTTTCTCGCTCTCTCTCTTTCTCTCTCTCTCCCACTCTTTTTCATCTCCATCTCTCTGTTTCTCTCTCTCTCTCTCTCTCTCTCTCTCTCTCTCTCTCTCTCTCTCTCTCTCTCTCTCTCTCTTTCTTTCTTGCTTTCTCTGTCCCTTTCCTTCTTGTGTTCTTTATCACTCTACCTTTCTTTCTATTGTATGTCGATCTCTCTGGCTCTTTACATTCTCTTCTCTTTCATTGTCTCCTTTATTGCCTTTAATCTCATTCTGTCCAACTCCTCCCTTTCTGCTATCTCCTTATTCTCTCCATATCGAACTCTCCCTCCTCCTCAAATATAATGTCTTTTCTTTCCTCCCTTTTTTCTGTCATTCTCTCCTCTTCTGTTGATCCCTCTATATTTTCAGTTCTTGTTAGTATTTACTTCTCTTACTCTTTCTTCCCCCCTCTCTCTCTGGCTGTCCTTTGCTCTCTGTCTTTCTGCTTGCCCCCACTCTCTCTGGCTGTCTCTTTCTCTCTGTCTTTCTGCTTGCCCCCCACTCTCTCTGGCTGTCTTTTTCTCTCTGTCTCTCTGCTTGCCCCCACTCTCTCTGGCTGTCTTTTTCTCTCTGTCTTTCTGCTTGCCCCCACTCTCTCGCTGTCTTATTTCCAACTTTATAGTTTTATCCACTTACCTGTACTAATAATACAGTCATCAGGAGAAATACAAAACAACAAACAGCTACCTTTGTAGTTTTGTCCAAAAGGTATAACACAAGAAATAAACCTGAGCTAAGACAGACCAAGTGAGATAGAAAACCATGATCATCTGTGTTTATCAGCGTGGTAGATAATGGATGATGTTGATCTTAATAATGATGATGTTGATGAAGATAATGATAATGATGATAATGATGATGATGATGATAATGATATTGATGATCATAATAACAATGATGATGATGATGATGATGATGATGATGATAATGATGAAGAAGAAGAAAAAGAAGACCTCTTCAGTTGCTATTTTATACGAGGATAGCTGCTAAACTTGATAATAATAATAATAATAAAAAACCTTCCATGATAACCAGTTTTTTAAAGTGATCCCCTACCCCTTCATTCTTGTGTGTGTCTCCCCCCACCCCCTCCTCCCAACTTTGAACAAGCAGTGACATAACAAATGCATGAACTGCATTTTGGGGAGTGTGTCCTTCATCTTGCATGTTGCAGTTGTAATAGTACTTCTTTTTTTTTCTTTTTTTGGTAAACATTTTTTTAAAAAGGCAAGTAAATTCTCTTTTAAACTGAGCATATGATAATAAGTAATGTGTAAGCATTCAGTAATACAGTTTAATATGTTAACCTGGTAGAATGTACTTTTATAAAATACTAAAAAAAAAAAAAAAAGGTAGAATATAATAGTCAGCTTTAGGAAACAGTAAGGGAGCTACCATGGTGTAGTGACAAGACACTCAACCTGCGGATCCAAATGTTGTGGGTTCAGATCTGACAGAGCTGGACTTTTTTCACAAATGATTTTGGCTCCCAGGTCAACCCAGCCTTAATTGGATACCAGGTAAATTTCTGGGAAGTAAAGTTGGCCGGTTTGATGTTGACCACATCACCTACCAAGTGCCAGCTGGTCTACAAAAACATGATTTAGCATCATATGCCCAAGGCTTTTGGGGCCCCCGATTTGGGGGGTGGAGAAGAAAGGGGGGGGGGGTTGCAAGTGGAAGAATAGACCCACTGCCTCTCAACAAACATGGCATCACAAGTCAGTGATAAAGGCCTTTGCTGAAATCAGATGCATTGACCCAAAAGACAACAATATCACAGCCTAGCTGTAAGCCCCCCTACAGCATGCCAACTTCCCTTTTAAGGAGGAATGCAGAAGAAGAAGAATGTAATGAATAGTAGAAGAGGCAGGGGCAGACCAAGGAAAATGATGCTGGAGGGCCTAATGCAATGTCTTGGCAGGGTATCATTAGTAGAAGTGATCCAGAACAGGATAGAGACATATGGTCTAAACTTCCTTTGAAGTCAGAGTGCATCTGCCTGAGAGGCAAGGAACCAACAGTCTGCACACAAATGTGTCAGATCTGTAAAAACGGATGCACACACAACACTCAGGTTCTGGAACAGGATTGCAGTCCAGAAGTTAAGAAACAACCAGAACTTTCCACCACAGAGTTTACAGCTGGTAAACGCAAAGAAGGAGAAGAAGATATGGTCTAAATCAGAGTCAAAGACTTGTTGAAAAACTGCAACATATTATATAAGTTGCCCTGCGATGACATTGCAAGCCACAGAAGTAGCTGGTCTATATATATATTGTCACTAAAAACCTTAAACGTGTGATATAAATTACAGTAAACAAGCCATTATCTTGTAACCTGTCAATATTGTTGTTAAGGATGTCAAGAGTGTTAAGCACATGTCATTATTGTACAGACAGGCAGTGACCATCATAGTGACAGTTTTAAGATAGCTGCCTAACTTAAGACATGCACCAAAGAGGAGCATTGTTCTATTATCCATGTTTTGATCAGTGAAGGGGTGATTCCTATAGAAGCTCACAAATAGTTACTTTTTTCAGTCTTTCAGTCTAAATACACAGACTAAGCTTCTTTTGAAGTTGTGATGAATGTATTTTTAGAGTTATCCAACTAATTCCTTTTGTTGGTTTATTGGTTTCTAGGAGAAGGAGCACCTCCACGACCGCCGCTGCCTTATGACCAGGCACCTCCAAGGCCACCTCCCCCAGAGACTGACGATGAAGATGATACTTTTTTCCCTATACCTCAAGCCAACCAGCCAATTATGGTAAACATTTGGGTGTATTATTCCACTAGTGGGTTCCGGGACCCCATTGTCAGGGACCCCCAACAAATATAAGAGACCTACTGCATCCCTAACAAACGTCATAAGAGTAGACTAACTAGGTGTTTCCTTGAAAGTCGGAGGACATCTGCCTGAGAGGCAAGGAACCAACATAAGTTCTGGAACAAGAGTAAAGTCCTAAAGTTGATGAACACAGAACTTTGTGGAGGGACCAAAAAAATACAAAAACAACAACAGAGACCTACTGCATCCCAAACAAACACGTTGTAATAAGAGTCGACTAATTAGGTGTTTCCTTGAAAGTCGGAGGGCATCTGCCTGAGAGACAAGGAACCCATTCAAGTTATGGAACAAGAGTAAAGTCCAAAAGTGGATAAACACAGAACTTTCCACTGTAATTTACAGCAGGTGAACACCAAGAAGAAGAAATGTGTATTATGATTAAAGAAGTCTGCAAAAACATTAACTCCGAGCGAACCGGTTAACAGCAGTCACTCTGTAGTGAACTATGTTGTGCTGTTGACACCTTTCCATCTTTCCAGTCTACAGTGTTATATTGTGCTATGGCATCATGGGAATCTCACCCCATGGCAAGGGTGAGTGGGACTGGCCAGACCCGCCCGAGTTAAGAAAAGTCAGCTGCAGTTGGAGCTTGGGAGTTCAGGAATATTAAATTTTGAAATGAGAATCGACATCACAGCACTCAGTACACTCCCATAAGTGCTCAGTCCCCATCTTCAGCAGCAAGCAAAGAGTTCCAAAATCAAAAATTTTAAATTAAAAAAAATAAAATACAAATTTCAGGACTGTTGGTCTAAACATCTACCAGACTCCATTTACATACTCAACAGAAAACAATACACAACAGTTTTCTGTCTGATAACTGGACACTACAAGCCCAGCTACTGCATGCATAAAATAAAGACTGTACAGTCCCCACAGTGTGTATGTCAGAGGGGACTACAAACACCTGAGCACATTCTGCAGACCTGCCTACTGTACTGACAACTAGGAAGTCTAGCCTCAAGAGCAAAGTGTGCAGAGTGAGTTATAGGGAGCCACAAGGCAACTGGGAAGTTGCTGTGGCAGAGCGGCTAGACACTCGCCGTGAATCGGAAGGTCGTGGGTTTGCTCCCTGGCGGAGCCGGACTTTTTCCAAAAATGATCTTGGCTCCCTGGTCGACCCAGCTTTGAGCGGGTAACGTGTGCAGTCCTGGGAAGTAAAGGCAGCCGGCGTGATGCTGGCCACATCACCCATCTTGTGCCGATTGGGCTATACAATATAGGTCTAGCCCTATATGCCCTATACTAAAGACGTGGACAAAGGTCCTTTACTTACTTTTTTTTTACAAGGCAACTCACGTGCATATTCATAGAGGCAGCCCATCTAATAATCTGGCCTGTGCATATGAAACCGAACGCCAAAAAGAAGGAGAACCGCTCTTGCCATTTAATTAACTGTACTCATTTTGAAGATAGCAATACACATTCTGAGTAAAAGTAAAGTTGATCTCCCCACACCCTGCCCCTATACACTCTAGCTCACTTCTGATTGGTAGTTCCTGATCCTGTCACTTTGGCACAACTTTACAGGGGTGTTCTGCATTGCTGTTGATATCGCGTGTTGTATATTTCAGCACACCAGGGCTTTTAACACTCCCAAAACATGAAGAAACTAGTCCTAACACAACCTCCCTAGAGAGTGTTGCAACCTATGTTCCAGGCATTCTCTTTCTCAGAATAAAAACGTAAATGCAAGACAAGACAGAAAGCAAACAAAAGAGTGGGACACACCTGTAACCTTCAGGAAAGTCGACCAACCCAACAATCTTGTGGATGAAAAGTGACCTACCTATCTGGGGAGATTAATGTGAACCTAACCCACATTCTGTTATCATCATATAGCAGGTCCTTTCAAGGACAATGCTCTCATCCCAGCCTGGCTGCAAAAAAAACAAAAAAACTATGCCTCACCAGCTCATGAACTTTCCTGCCATAGGTGTCTCTTATGTCTTGTGCTGGTCAGCCTCTGCTCCTTTTACCTAGTACCATGCCCTCCAACACTGTTTCCAGTCCACCATAATGTTTGATAAGGCCAGTGTATTGCAGTTTATGATGCAAGATGTTGTTTACAAGCCAGTCTTCCTTGATGTTCAAATCTTTTGTACTAGGCTACTGGTTTGTAAGAATCTTTCTGCAGCATTTCAGCTCAAAAGTGCACATTCGATAAATATCTATATTTTTTCTGTAGATAGCATTTTCAGTCTGTAGATAGCACCACTTATTATGTATATATGACCACTGATGTAGATAACATCACAAATTATGTAGATAGTACCACTTATTATGTAGATAGCACCAATTGTCATGTAGATAGCACTGCTTATTATGTAGATAGCACCACCTATTATGTAGATAGCACCACTTATTATGTAGATAGCACCACTTATTATGTAGATAGCACCACTTATTATGTAGATAGCACCACCTATTATGTAGATAGCACCACCTATTATGTAGATAGCACCACTTATTATGTAGATAGCACCACTTATTATGTAGATAGCACCACCTATTATGTAGATAGCACCACCTATTATGTAGATAGCACCACTTATTATGTAGATAGCACCACTTATTATGTAGATAGCACCACTTATTATGTAGATAGCACCACTTATTATGTAGATAGCACCACCTATTATGTAGATAGCACCACTTATTATGTAGATAGCACCACCTATTATGTAGATAGCACCACTTATTATGTAGATAGCACCACTTATTATGTAGATAGCACCACCTATTATGTAGATAGCACCACCTATTATGTAGATAGCACCACTTATTATGTAGATAGCACCACCTATTATGTAGATAGCACCACCTATTATGTAGATAGCACCACCTATTATGTAGATAGCACCACTTATTATGTAGATAGCACCACCTATTATGTAGATAGCACCACTTATTATGTAGATAGCACCACTTATTATGTAGATAGCACCACCTATTATGTAGATAGCACCACCTATTATGTAGATAGCACCACTTATTATGTAGATAGCACCACCTATTATGTAGATAGCACCACCTATTATGTAGATAGCACCACCTATTATGTAGATAGCACCACTTATTATGTAGATAGCACCACTTATTATGTAGATAGCACCACCTATTATGTAGATAGCACCACTTATTATGTAGATAGCACCACTTATTATGTAGATAGCACCACCTATTATGTAGATAGCACCACCTATTATGTAGATAGCACCACCTATTATGTAGATAGCACCACTTATTATGTAGATAGCACCACCTATTATGTAGATAGCACCACCTATTATGTAGATAGCACCACCTATTATGTAGATAGCACCACCTATTATGTAGATAGCACCACCTATTATGTAGATAGCACCACCTATTATGTAGATAGCACCACCTATTATGTAGATAGCACCACCTATTATGTAGATAGCACCACCTATTATGTAGATAGCACCACTTATTATGTAGATAGCACCACTCTCATTGTTTCTTTAGTTAACCATACTCATTCTGTGGAGGTCATGACCCATGCATTTAGTGGGCAGCCCGATATGTACAAGTGATAGAACCTAATTGTATCTCAACCAGATGGCAGCACATGCCCTTCACATGGAAGCCAAGCAGTGGTCAAGCAAGGACAATGAGATTATTGCTGCAGCTAAAAAGATGGCTCTTTTGATGGCTAAGCTAAGCCAGCTGGTCAGGTCAGTTCTTCATGGATCACTTTCGGTGAAAATATATTTTACTTTATAAATATTAATAACATATCAAGTCTTTGAAACCAGAGAGACAGAGAGAGAGAGAGAGAGAGAGAGAGACAGAGAGAATGAGAGAGACAGAGAGAGAGACAGAGAGAGAGAGACAGAGAATGAGAGAGAGAGACAGAGAGAGAGACAGAGAGAGACAGAGAGAGAAACAGAAAGAGACAGAGAGAGAGAGAGACAGAGAGAGAGAGAGACAGAGAGAGACAGAGAGAGACAGAGAGAGAGAGAGAGAGAGAGAAAGAGAGAGAGAGAGAGAGAGAGAGAGAGAGAGAGATCCTTACCTACACAGTCCGTGGTGACAGCACTAATCAGCCCAAAGTCCTCAGGCTCAAAGACCCCCGTCCCCCTTTTCCGCTTCCCCTGTCTACACCACAAAAACAGTTCATTCACAAGTACTGATATTAGCCAATGCCACACATTGAGAGCACTGGACTCCCTGTGTGGGCTCTGAGCCCCATTGTGGGGAAGATTAAGAATAGACCGTCCCCCCCTTCCCGTCCCCCCCTTCCCGACCCCCCCCCCCCCCGACCCCCCAACAAGCATGACATTAAAGTCAACTACTAATTAGGGGGGAAGTCGCCATGGGGTAGCAGCTAGACACTCATGCGGATCGGAAGGTAGTGGGTTCGCTCCCTGGCGGAGCCTGACTTTTTTCAAAAATGACCTTGACTCCCAGGTCGACCCAGCCTTGAGTGGGTACCGGGTGCAGTCCTGGGAAGTAAAGGTGGCCGGCATGATGTTGACCACATTACCCATCTTGTGCTGATTGGTCTATAAAAATATAGATCTAGCCCTACACGCCTAAAGATGTGGAAAAGGAACCTTGACCTTTTTTTTAAAACTGACTCGGGGTGTTTCCATTGGATTCGGAGTGCATCTGCCTGAGAGGCGAGGGACGAAGTCTGCACACAAATACGCCAGATCTGTAAAACGGATGTGCACCCAAAACTCAAGTTCTGAAACAAGACTGAAATCCAGAAGTGGACGAACAACCAGGACTCTTCGCCAGAGTTCACAGCCCGTGAAGATGAAGAAGGAAAAGAAGAGCACTGGATCGTGAGTTATCTCTCCCCATGACTCTTGATATTGGAGATTTATTTCTTGGTGTCAGCTTGACTGCAGTCATTCTTATTTCCAAAATCATGATATCAGCCATGCGCATCTGTGGAAAGGTGCCTCAGACAGCAGAACATTTACTTCAATACTGCACCAAAATTGGCACATTAAGGCAAACCTTTTGGTCAGAAAGAACAACAGTGGAACGTAAACTCCATGGACCACTGATGAACAAAAAATAACTGAAATTTATGAGAGACAAAATTTCTAATATAAACAACTTATTTCAGGCGAACAAAAGAAGAAGAAAAACATCAAGATTAAAAGTTTAAAAAAGAAAACCCACCATATTTACACCAGTTATGTATTGGACAGACTAACCACCTGTGAAATGAGATGTTTGAGAATGGCTGCGAATAAAACCAGAAGAGATCAAGTGAGAAACGATGTGATTACAAGAACTATTGGAACCATACCCATCGTTAAATTTATTGAGAAGCAAAGAATGAAATGGTTTGGTCACCTAATGAGAATGGAACCAACAATGCCAGCATCAAGAGCATACAACATGAAAATCGAAACACCAAGAGGCAGGGGAAGACCAAGAAGAAGATGGATTGAAGGAGTCACGGACAACTTGAGACTTCATAACATCACGGCATATGAAGCGACTGAGCGCGCCCTGGCTCGGTTGCCGATCATCTGATAGACTGCGACGCCTAGCGGCACAAGCAGATTTTGACAAAAGAAGACAAAAGAAGATGTATTGGACAAATGATGCTGGAAATTGTTTTAACCAGCTGGCACTTCTTGGGTGTTATGGTTAACGTCATGGGGCTGCCTTTACTTCCCAGGACATTGCCTGGAACTCATTGTAAGCGGGGTTGACTTGAGTTAAGGTACTTGTGAAAAACAAAATCTGGCTTGGCGCAGATGCGTTTCCTACTTCTCCTCCTCCTCCTTTCTCCTCCTTCTTTCTCCTCCGCCTTCTTCTTTCTCCTCCTCCTTTTTCTTCTCCTCTTTCTTCTTCTTCTTTTTCCTCCTCCTTCTTTCTCTTCCTCTTCCTTTCTTCTCCTTCTCCTCCTTCTTTCTTCTCCTCCTTCTCCCCTTTCTCCTCCTCCTCCCCCTCCTCCTCCTTCTTTCTCCTCCTCCTCTTCCCCCTCCTCCTTCTTTCTCCTCCTCCTTTCCCCTTCTTCTTAGTGGCCATAAACTCTGGCAGAAAATTCTTGTGGTTTATTTTGCCTCTCACACAAAGGCACTAGGACTCAAGGCCTCTAATTAGTCGTATTCTATGACTTGCTTGTTAGAGGGTAGTGGGTTTATTCTTTGCTGTCTAAAATAGAGCCCTGGAACAACATGGGGAGGTGCGGATGCAAACCCAAGATCTGTAACCCAACAGGCGAGCTTCTAACCACCACACAACTGTGACTACCCATGAGGTTTTTAGGTAGTTGTAGTGATGTTGAATCTTTGTTACTGTTTCCAGGGGTGAGGGTGGAACAAAGAAGGACCTCATTGCCACAGCCAAAGCCATTGCGGAAGCTTCTGAGGAGGTGACCAGACTGGCTAAGAAGCTGGCAGCAGAGTGTACGGACAAGAAGATGAGGATGGTAGGTCTAATGTTATGTTTGATCAGAGAATAATAGAAGGACTTTTTGTGTGTGTGTAGTTTATTACAGCATAACAGGATTTTTTTCCTATAGAGAAGCAGATTTAATTGTCTGGTGCAGTATTGTCTGCTTGGTCCTTGGCTTTTGTCTAGGGGGTGTACTCTAATTGATGATATGACTGACACTCTACGATGAAACAGATGTTATGAGTAGATACCGTCTCCATGATACATAACTGTTTATTAACATTTAAGCACTAACACAATATGTCCAGTCTGTGTCCTATTCAACAAGCACAGCATTCGAGCACCACATCGTTCAGACACCAATACATTGAATCCTGACGCATTCACACTCTGGAGTTCTCCGTCGTCACTTCAACATCTTGACATGGATGACTCTGGTCACTGCATTTGTGGTTTACCGCAACTGAGTCGGGTGAACTTCACTTTGATGAATGTTGTAGTCGAGTTGTCGTCTTGAAGTAATCAGTTTCACGTTTACTAGGATTCTTCTTATTCACACTGGATCATACACACACTTTCTCGTTCCAACGGTCCAACACATACTGTTTAATCAGAACATGGTCTAATCTTATAACCAAGTATTGGGTTCCACGTGGCGACACGTGGTCGTTCTCCTTGGGTTCCACGTGGTAACACGTGGTCATTTCACCCCTTGAGAACCTCGTTTTCTCAGAGTGTCTGGCTTTTCTTGGTTTTATGGTGACCTTTGAGTATTTCCCCCCAGCCTTCTCAATCAGGGAATCCCTGTGTGAAAATATCCCACATTACATCTGGTTTTGCCCGGGACAGTTAAAGAAAAGTGTATTCACCTATTCTCTGCTTCACCTTTATCTTTACTGCTGCGGTATGTTTGGTCATTGCCCCTAACTGCACCTGGGGTTCTTACCGCACCCCCCCCCCCATGGTTCATTCTACTAACCTTGAAATCTGGGGTTCTTACCACCCCTTCAGCTGCCTCGGCACCCAAAGGTAGGGGGGTGGTAGCACCCACTGTGGAAGACTGGTCTAAGCCTAGCAGGCTTCAATCCTCCCTCCATGGTTGCAGCTAAGGATTACTATTCTGACTGTTTGCAGCTACACCCTGCCCCCACCCTACCCAGTTTCTGCCTTTCTTTTACCACTTTTAGGGTGTAGGCAAAGGAGGTAAGGAAGGGGGGGGGGGGGTGGGGGTGTCTTTAAGCCTGAGGAATTATGGCCACATGGCTAATGCTGTCGCCACGACTGTGCAGGTGAGGATTTTTTTTGCCTCTGACAGAAAAAAATCCCCCAGCCTTACTGAGGATTCGAACCTGGGTCTCATGCTTGAGAGCCTAGCATTCTAACCATTAGGCCAGCCGCTGCCCCCCCCCCCCCCCCCTCTACCCAAGTTTGATAAAATGTAAAGAACCTCCAATGGTGTTGAAGCACTATCCAGTTCTGTGTATCTGAGTTTAGACAATGATATTTTACAGTCATCATGACCTATTGTTTAATATCCAACTGTGGAGAAAGATGGCTAACCATGCTAGTCAGCAGGGGAACTTTGTGTTAATGTTTAGTATGGGTTTTTTAACATGGCTTACTGATGTGGGTTCTGGACACCCACTTTTTGGGAAGGAGAAGAATTGACCAACTGCCTCCAAACTGTAAGTAATTTGAAGCTGTCACGGGCCTCATAACTAATTGCATTTCACAAAATATGTTCAGCATGTATATTGAAAAAAGGAGTATGGGTTTAGTGAGTACAAAGAAGTAAGAAGTATTAGAAAGTAAGAAGTATAAGAAAGTAAGAAGTATTAGAAAGTAAGAAGTATTAGAAAGTAAGAAGTATTAGGAAGTAAGAAGTATTAGAAAGTAAGAAGTATTAGAAAGTAAGAAGCCCTCAACCGGCAAACAGCCACCCACCACCTTCTTAACCACCCACTCACCCAACCAGCCACCTTCTAAACTAGTCTTTTACCAGTCCACCCAGCCAGGGCCGTCTCAACACATGAGCCAGCTCAGCACTTGCCCGGTCCCCCTGTGAGCATAAAGGCCCTATGCTTATCAGTGTATGTCAAGTGACTGGCCATACGTAAAAATTTCTTTCCTGTGAGTGGTACTTGTAGAGGCCCCATCACACTAGATTTGCTCAGGGGCTCATATTGCTGCTATGACAGCTTTGCACCCAAACCCTACCAATACATATCAAACCAACCTTTCTTTTCGACATTAGTCTCCCCAGAGGAAGTAGGTCATGATCTATTAATAACTGTTTTGGACTGGTCTACTTTCGTGAGAGTTACGGGTGTGTCGCTATGTTGTTGGCTTTCTGGCTTGTCTTGCAGTTATGTTTTTCTTCAGAGAAAGAGAATGCCTGTGACATAGGCTGCAGCACTCTCTAGGGGGTTTGTGTGTTAGACCCAGTTTCTGCATGTTTTTGTAGTGTTAAAAGCACTGGCATGCTGAAATATAGAATACGCAATATTAACGGGATTGGGGAACACCCCCCCGTCACTTTGTACCACGGTCGGGTGGCTCAAAGTCGACCAATCAGAGGTGAGCTAGTGTGTATATGGGCTGTCTCTGGGGGTACTATTGTGGAACTAACCCCAAAATGTCTGGATTATCACTCCCAGAATCTCCTGCAAGTGTGTGAGAGAATTCCAACCATTGGAACCCAGCTGAAGATTTTGTCTACAGTCAAGGCCACCATGCTGGGAGCACAAGGTATTTATACTTTATTTCCTATGATCAGTTACATTCAAAATAAACTAATATCAAGTTTATCTCCCTTTGCAGAGTATGTTCAAATGAAACTATATCCACTTTATTTCATAATCGATTATGTGTCATCATCATCATGTGCCCTGCCAGTTGGCTTAGGTGCTTATGCATTTCCACAGATCACAACCCCTGGTTGCCTGGAACAGCTGTTTTGATGATATCTCTCATATACCATCATTTCAGTTCCATCCAGCATTATCTCTCTTGGTCTGCCTTTACCCCTCTTTCCACTGATCTTTCTAGCTGTAACTATGTTTTCCAGTGCCTCTCCTCTCATTAGGTGGCCAAAGAACAATGTTCGTCTCCTTCTTATTTTTATATATAGAGATCTACTTTCATTAGCTTCTTTCAAACAATCTTTGTTAGTTACTCTGGTTATCCAAGCTATTCGTAACATTCGTCTCAGAAACCACATCTCTGTTGCTTCAAAATTCTTCTTAATTTGTTCAGTGACATTCAAAGATTCGCTGCCGAACAGCTTCTATGTAATATTTTAGCATTCTGTTTCTGACATTAAATAGGAACGCCTTATTGCATAAGATACTTTTCATTTTATTTAAGACAAACAAATATCTGCCTTTATTTTCGTGACAAGTTACATTAAAATAAACTGTATCCAGCTTATCTCTCGTTCCAAGTTACATTTAAAATAAACTGTCCACTTATCTCTTATTGCAAGATATATGTAAAAAAAAATGTCTACTTATGTCTTTTTGCAAGATATATGTAAAATAAAATGTCTAATTATGTCTCTTTGCAAGATATATGTAAAATAAAATGTCCACTTATCTCTTTTTGCAAGATATATGTAAAATAAAATGTCTACTTATGTCTTTTTGCAAGATATATGTAAAATAAAATGTCTACTTATCTCTTTTTGCAAGATATATGTAAAATAAACTGTCCACTTATCTCTTATTGCAAGATATATGTAAAATAAAATGTCTAATTATGTCTCTTTGCAAGATATATGTAAAATAAAATGTCTACTTATCTCTCATTGCAAGAATAAGAATAAAATGTCTACTTATCTCTCATTGCAAGAATAAGAATAAAATGTCTACTTATCTCTCATTGCAAGAATATGAATAAAATGTCTACTTATCTCTCATTGCAAGAATAAGAATAAAATGTCTACTTATCTCTCATTGCAAGAATATGAATAAAATGTCTACTTATCTGTCATTGCAAGAATATGAATAAAATGTCTACTTATCTCTCATTGCAAGAATATGAATAAAATGTCTACTTATCTCTCATTGCAAGAATAAGAATAAAATGTCTACTTATCTCTCATTGCAAGAATATGAATAAAATGTCTACTTATCTCTCATTGCAAGAATATGAATAAAATGTCTACTTATCTCTCATTGCAATGTATATGTAAAATAAACTATGTTTACCTTATTTATCATAATTCATATGGTTTAAAAAATAATAATCCCCTTTGTTGACATAAATTGACACATACTGTTGGAGATGGCAAGATGGGGAGAATGACTGCCTACATAAAAGCAACTGAATAGCTAGACGAAAAAAAAATACACACAGAAAATATGTGAACATTCGAACTAAGTCTTTATCAAGCAATGACTACCAAAAAAAAAAAAAAACACAGTGATATTAGACAGTAGTCATGACTTTTTTCTTAATATCAAGCTGTGGAGAAAGATGGTTGCCCCTGCCATTCAGCAGGGAACTTGATGGTAATGTTTATTATGGTTTCGTTTTTTAACACGGCTTACTCATGTGCGTTCTGGACTCCCACTTTTGGGGAAGGGGAAGAATCGAACCACTGCCTCCTAACAAGCAAGTTTTAAAAATGGAACTAATTAGCATTTTGCTGAAATCTTTGGTGCTGGGCCAAAAGGTGCAGATACTGCAGCCTAGCTGTAAACCACAACACACAATGTCAGCCATCCTTTTAAGAAGTTTCCATCACAGATGCTACATCAAAAAAAGCTGACACATAGTATTTTAAAGATGAAGATAGTTTGATGTCAGAAAAGGCATTGTATTTACTCAGTCAAAGTTTGAGACATGTATCTTTCCTCTACCAACATACAGTTGTGAGCTGTGGAGTACTTCGCAGTCCTTAGGAAAGAAAATAGGAGCTTTAGAGCTGAAAGGTTATAGAAGGATTCTTAGAATACCATGGACAAAGAATAAAAGAAGTACTGACATCACAAAAAACATCTGAACATCAAGGAAGATTGGCTGGTAAATAGCAAATTGTCTCGTAAACTGAAATATTTTGGCCATATCAAGTGCCACGTTGGTGTGCAAGTCGACCGCAAGATTTTTAGTTAAAGATTATGAATTAGACCTATACCAACCTAAAACATTTAATAATTGCCATCTAAATCGTCTTTTAAGGCTCAAAACTCGACTTATACACCACAATTTATTGTATGTTCTCATTCTTGTCAGGATAATTTTCTTCAGATTTTGTATTTAAAATCTTCTTTAAGTCTACAGTATATTTAGTTTTGTTTTTATAATTTGCTTTTGTGTTTTTTATTTTGGTTTCGTTCGTTTTTTTTTTAAAAACCTGGCAGAGCCGATATGTGGGCCAGATGGGAGTGAGATTCCTTATGGTAATTCGGTTGTGTGTAAAACCACTCGGATTCCCATCTGCTCTGTGAATTGCTTTGTCTTGTTTACTAACCTTCCCCAGATCCATTTTATTTTTATTTACCCTTAGTTTTATTAAAAGCTTTTGTAAGTTTGTATGTTTGTGCGTCTTGCTCCATAGTTTAGTTATGTTTGGTTGATTTTTATGGTGTCTGTTAGAGTGTTATTTTTTTTTTTTTTTTACTTTGTCTCGGCATCATATATATCAGGTATTCTTGTACATTTGTCATGTTGATGTGTTTGTGATTGGCTCACCTAGGTCAGTTTATTTATCTGTAACCTGTGACTGGCCTAGCAAGCCAACAGGGGATTATTCTATTACTTTAGCAAGTTCTCCATGTGGGTTCCGGGGCCCTATTATAGGAAAAACAAGAATAGAACCGCTGCCTACCCAAAAGTATGTCGTAAGAGTCGACTAATTGGGAGCTTCCTTCGAAGTAGGAGTGCATCTGCCTGAGAGGCAAGGAACCAGCAGTCTGCATACAAATGAGTCAGATCTGTAAAATGGATGCACACGCAACACTCAGGTTCTGGAACAGGGCTGCAGTTCGAAAGTGGATGAACAACTAGAACTTTCTGCCCAAGTTTACAGCTGGTGAACGTGAAGAAGAAGAAGACTTTAGCAAGTAGAAGTAAAGAACCCTTTTCCACACCTTTATGCATAATGGGCATATAGACAATAGACCTGGATTTTTAGACCAGTCGGCACTCCGGCTGCCTTCAGTTCACAGGACTCCACCAGTACCCATTTTTGGATGTGTCAGTCTGGCAGCAAAAAAAAAAAAAATAATTTTTGAAATAAATCTGGCTCAATACTGATTCAAATCTACAACCTTCGGGCCCTCAGGCGAGTGTCTAGCCACTACACCTTAAAATAAATAGAAGGAAGTATAAAAAAAAAATATAGAAATAAGGAATGGACCATTATTACATCACGGCTCAGTTGCAAATGATGCTTAGCTCATATTTTAATTGACTGATTACCACTGGATGGGTGATGTGGTCACAGATTGGCACTGGATGGGTGATGTGGTCACAGATTGGCACTGGATGGGTGATGTGGTCACAGATTGGCACTGGATGGGTGATGTGGTCACTGATGGCACTGGATGGGTGATGTGGTCACTGATGGCACTGGATGGGTGATGTGGTCACTGATTGGCACTGGATGGGTGATTTGGTCACTGATTGGCACTGGATGGGTGATGTGGTCACTGATTGGCACTGGATGGGTGATGTGGTCACTGATTGGCACTGGATGGGAAATGTGGTCACTGATTGGCACTGGATGGGTGATGTGGTCACTGATGGCACTGGATGGGTGATGTGGTCACTGATGGCACTGGATGGGTGATGTGGTCACTGATTGGCACTGGATGGGTGATTTGGTCACTGATTGGCACTGGATGGGTGATGTGATCACTGATGGCACTGGATGGGTGATGTGGTCACTGATTGGCAATGAATGGGTGATGTGATCACTGATTGACACTGGATGGGTGATGTGGTCACTGATTGCCACTGGATGTGTGATGTGGTGACTGATTGGCAATGAATGGGAGATGTGATCACTGATTGGCACTGGATGGGTGATGTGATCACTGATTGGCACTGGATGGGTGATGTGGTCACTGACTGGCAATGAATGGGTAATGTGGTCACTGATTGGCAATGAATGGGAGATGTGATCACTGATTGGCACTGGATGGGTGATGTGATCACTGATTGACACTGGATGGGTGATGTGATCACTGATTGCCACTGGATGGGTGATGTGATCACTGATTGCCACTGGATGGGAGATGTGGTCACTATCACGCCTACCGCAGAAGGAAGTATAAAAGTAAAATAGCAACGTTAAGGATCCTTTTCCACACCTTCAGGTGTATTGAGCATATAGGGCTAGACCTATATTTTTTTTTGACCAATCGGCACCTTGTGGGTGATGTAGTCACTATCACGCCGGCCACCTTTACTTCCCAGGACTGCACCTGGTACTCGCTCATAGCTGGGTCGACTTGGGAACCCGAGTCCTTTAAAAAACAAAAAAGTCAGGTTCTGCCAGGACCTAACCCATAAAAAAGAAGTATCTTTAGCCTAAAAGAAAGCAAACTCTGGCATCGTTAAAGGACAGAGAGACATGATAGTTCAGAGGGAGGCTGAAAGTGCAAACAGTGGACATAGGGAAAATAAAGTCACTGAGAAATGCCATGTATGAAGCACACAGTGGGCACTCTTAATTCGTCACCCGGACAACAGAAACTACTAGAGATGATATTTTTGGAAAACTGTACTTCCCCTTCCAGTAACTCTCTCTCTCTGTCTTGTTGTACCCCACCAGGACATCACACAAGCGATAAACACCCGGTGACACAAAGTGCCACCATGCGGATGAGGATCACTTGTGGAGAGGTGCCAGAAACCCCTTTAGGCCATATTTATGGCCGGGCTATATTCAGGGCCCCTGGCAAAAGCCAGGGTGGGGCTTCAAATAACAAAAAATTTCATCCCGCATGGGGATAACTGAATAATTCCTTTCAGTAACTGCAGCCACAAGGTTTTACACCCTATAACTTTAAAAGCCATATTTTAGATACAAATATAACAAGAACGAACCCCATATACCTCTTCAATCATATAAACAGGATATATATTTGTCCATGTATGACACGTTCCATGTATAAGATGACCCCCCTCCCCGGTTTTTTTAAAAGCTCAAAATTAGAAAACGCAGACACATTCCATGCATAATACCCCCCTTCCCCCAGTTTTAAACTGGAAAAATTGGGGAAAGCATACCCTCATATACACCGCTATATACGTAGCTAATTTTTAAATAAAAAAAAAAAAAAAAAAAAAAAGTGTTAATAAAGCAAAGATGCAGATAAAGCACAATTGTCGATAAAGCAAAAATGTAGATAAAGCACAATTGTCGATAAAGCAAAAATGTTGATAAAGCAAAAATGTAGATAACGCAAAAATATTGATAAAGCAGAAATGTTGATAAAGCAAAAATGTTGATAAAGCGAGCGTTTGAGCTGTATTTGTTCTGTGAGCTAATTTCTGATGATCTTGAGTTTGCCGAGCTTATAGTGTCAGGTTGGCCTCGCTGCACCATATTACATATGATTGTTGGTAATATGTAGGTGTGATATGTGTACTACGTAAAAATACAGTGCTGTGATGATTTGTAACTGTGCTTATTGTTCATTTGTGCAGTTTTTGAATCATGATTTCTGTTTTTGTTGTTTTTGTTGTTTTCATTTGTAGGTTTGCATGTCCACCTGCAGTAGCTAAAATTTTGAGTTTTACCCCTTTCCCATTTTCTGTTTATGTGAGTGTGCATGCACACATGCACAGACAGACAGACAGCCAAGTATTCATCCAGTCAAGCATTTTTTCATGCATACTGGTAGACACACATAGGCTCACACGACCATCTGTTCTGCGAGCCACTCTCTCATACACACCTACACACCTATTGACAGACATACAGTCACCTACACACCATTGACAGACATACAGTCACCTACACACCCATTGACAGACATGCAATCACCTACACACCATTGACAGACATACAGTCACCTACACACCCATTGACAGACATGCAATCACCTACACACCCTTGACAGACATGCAATCACCTACACAGCCATTGACAGACATGCAATCACCTACACACCCTTGACAGACATGCAATCACCTACACACACATTGACAGACATACAATCACCTACGCATCCATTGACAGACAAACAATTACCTACACACCCATTGACAGACATTCAATCACCTACACACCCATTGACAGACATGCAATCACCTACGCATCCATTGACAGACATGCAATCACCTACACACCCATTGACAGACATACAGTCACCTACACACCCATTGACAGACATACAATCATCTACACACCCATTGACAGACATACAATCACCTACACACCCATTGACAGACAAACAATTACCTACACACCCATTGACAGACATACAATCACCTACACACCCATTGACAGACATACAATCACCTACACACACATTGACAGACATACAATCACCTACGCATCCATTGACAGACAAACAATCACCTACACACCCATTGACAGACATACAATCACCTACACACACATTGACATACATGCAATCACCTACACACCCATTGACAGACATACAATCACCTACACACCCATTGACAGACATACAATCACCTACACACCCATTGACAGACAAACAATCACCTACACACCCATTGACAGACAAACAATCACCTACACACCCATTGACAGACATACAATCACCTACACACCCATTGACAGACATGCAATCACCTACACACCCATTGACAGACATACAATCACCTAGTCCAAGATCCATCCAGTCCAAGCCTCTCCTCTTCCCACACGCACCCACACACACAATCAGAGACAAGTAAACAACCATTCATCGATTCAGTCTCTTTCACTCTCTCTCTCTCTTGTCTCTCACACACACAAACACATGCACACACACACACACTTAGAGACACGTAAACAACCATTCATCGATTCAGTCTCTTTCACTCTCTCTCTCTCTGTCTCTCACACACAAACACATGCAAACACACACATAGAAGTGGAATACTTACCCCCCCCCCCTTCCCCCATTTTTCCCTCCGATTTTTATTTTTTAAATTTTCTCTGAGTTGTTTCTCAATTTCCTGCAATCCCATGAAAGTGTGCTCTTTCCCCAATTTATGTTTTGCTGTGTTTTGCACACACATATTCACAGAATATAATCAGACATCCAACCACCGATTCATCCATCCATCCAACTATTGAATCACTCTACACACGTACATAGGACTGACTATACACACAGGTGTAGTTCACTAAATTTTTTTCCTTGGGTTCTTGCATTTTTTTGTGTTTTGTTTTTTGTTTGTTTGTAAATATTTGGTTTATAATTATTTTACATTTTTAACCACCCTCACCGTATTCCGTTTTTTGTAACTTTAAAATTGTATCTGTAATAATTTGTGGGTCACAACTTGTATTTATTTTTGAAACCATGGTATACATGCTGTCCCACTTGAATTTTACATCAGAACCCATCCCGGCCCCAGACGGAAGCGAAATCGCCTGCGGTAAACTTCTGCTAAGATATGACTCCAGAGTCTGCATGAGACTTCTTGCGTTAACAATTCACTGCCTCTGTTGTGTGATGAATGCTATTAGTAACACAATTATAACAAGATTGAATGTTACAAGTAACACAGATATAACAAGACTGAATGCCTCTTTTGACAGAAATACCAAGCCTGAATGCCACAATCGATGCAGAAGTGACAAGGATGAAACCAGCTGTTAGCGCAGATATAAAAAAAAATAAATTTATACCATTAGGGACACATGTGTAACAGAAATGAATGCCACAATCGATGCAGAAGTGACAAGGATGAAACCAGCTGTTAGCACAGATATAAAAAAAAATTAATACCATTAGGGACACATGTGTAACAGAAATGAATGCCACACTGTTGACATCAAAATAACAAGACTGGTTGCAGCTGTTGACACATGTATAACAAAAATGAATACCAATGTTGACACAGTTTTATTAGGATTGAATGCCACCAGTAAGATGAGTAGGAAGGCTATTCGAAAAATCAACTTCTGATTGGCTGGTAAAATTAAACCATTTGCCATAGCAACACCGTTCATTGCTTGCATCATTCAGTAGGCTTTTAGCTCATGACACACCAACCAAAAGTCCTATTTTTGTTCAGTGGTTCCCGAACCATGAACAAATAAGCATGGACACTCGTGGTGTGATTTGTTTTCTTCAAATAGAAGGTCAAAATGCTCGTATAGCAAGACTGAATTACACTAGTTAGATGAATATAACCTGACAGAATGCAACTGGTAAGATAAATATAACCTGACAGAATGCAACTGGTAAGATAAATATAATCTGACAGAATGCAACTGGTAAGATAAATATAACCTGACAGAATGCAACTGGTAAGATAAATATAACCTGACTGAATGCCACTAGTAAGAAAAAAAACAACCTGACTGAATGCCATTATTAAGATGAATTTAACCTGACTGAATGCCACTAGTAAGATAAGTATAACCTGACTGAATGCCACTATTTACATAAATAGAACAAGACTGAATTCCACTAGTTGCATAAATAGAACAAGACTGAATGGCACTGGTAAAATAAATGTAACCTGACTGAATGCCACTAGTAGGATAAATGTAACCATAACCTGACTGAATGCCACTAGTAAGATCAATAGAACAAGACTGAATGCCACTAGTAAAATAAATATAACCTGCCTGAATGCCACCTCTAGAACACATATGACAAGACTGAATGCCTCTTGTAAGACAAATATAACCGAATACCACTGGTAAGATAATTGTAACGAGACTGAATACCACTAAAAACATAAATATAACATGACTGACCAGACAGAATAATGAGAATAAATGCCACTGGCGACACAGTTATAATACACTGAATGCCACTATAGACACAAATATTCCAAAACTGAATGTCACTGTCGACATAGGGATAACAATTGAATGCCACAATGATAAAAAAAATCAAGCAAGTGCCATAGTGGACACACATGTAACCTAACAAACTATTTCTGACGAATGAATGAAAAATACTGAAGTTGTTTATGGACGTCATGAACTTAACTTGTGACAAAGTAGATAATAGCATGAATAGAAAGACAGTTTTTTTTCTTTCCTTTTTTTTTTTTCTTGAAACATCGGAGGGCAATGTCTGGAGTTTTTGGGTGGCTCACTTGCTTGGGATGTGACAATTGCCACGGATGTAATGGGTTCAGAGCCTGTTTGCACACAGCCTCTGGTGAAAGGGCTTGTCATTGAGGAAGTTTACTGAGTTGGGTGGGAAGGTGGAAAAGGGGGGGGGGGAAACAGGAAAAGATTGATAAACAAAGAAGTATAAAGTCTAAAAGCCTTCTCCTTCTTCTGTACTCACTCTTAAAAAGGGTAATTGGCATGTTATATTGTATTTTACAGCTAGGCTGTGATATTTACACTTTGATTTGAGCAAGCCCATAATTAGTCCCTTTATATGACAACACAAAATAGATAATAATAAATAATAGATAACTACAGAGGCATGGATTGTTATAAACTAAAAATTAGCACAGTTTACTTCTTTTTCAATCTGGTATACCTCCCTTTGATGCTTGTATGCCATTAGTGAGACAAATGGGGGGACGGACAGATAGACACAGACAGATGGAAGGATAGACAGACATAGACAGATGGATGGACGGAGGGATGTACAGATAGATATAGACAGGTAGACAGATGGATGGACGTATGGATGGACAGATAGACACAGATAGACAGACAAGGAGAGAGTGAAAGTGAGACAGGGAGAGAGACTATATGGGATAGAGAGACAAAGAAGGGGAAAAAAAGGGGGGGGGGCATAGGGCAAAAGAGGGATTTAGACTAAGAAAGAAATTAAGGAAAAATGTGAGGTGGAGATAGGGTGAGATAGAAACTGAGGTGAGAGAGAGATGGCAGAACAAAGTATAAGATAAAGGGAAAAAAGAGTTATATCTTCTTCCTCTTTCCACTCTGTATTTTGGTCTCAAGTTTGTTTTATTGATTACTTTCTGTATGCCTTCATTCACAGAATCTAGTAAGTACCATTTCCTTCCGTGGTTGCTGTTTCTTAATTACTTTGCTATATCACCTTTGATGTCTCTGGAAACATGAACCCTTAGCACTATACATAATGTTATATTCTTTGAGGTACAAAGCATCTACAACTTTCATAATGCAAATTGTATGGGGGTAGGTTGGTGTAACGGACACACAGATTATGTTCCGGAAAATAGAAACTAGCGTCCTGCATAAGTCGTTGTCACTTTGTGACCTGCACTTGTGCTTTGGACATGGTCAGTTAAAGATGAATTCGTAAAATCCACATCTAAAATTGACCCTCACAAAGATTTTTATAAAGTTGCGGCTTAATATGCAACAGAGACTTGTAAACAAAGTAAATACATTAGAGTAGCCTTCCCTGAATATTTTAAAGATCATTTCAAACATTAAAAACTCATACAGAACAGTAAGCAGATCAATATGTGCAGGACACACAATCAACTCAGACTGTTGTATGGGCAAATCGGAACTTCTCACTCAACACACACATCGTTGCTTGGGCCTGAAAGAGTTGAATGTGCACCAGGTGAAGTCCTGGGAAGTAAAGGTGTCTGACATGATATTGAACTAATCACCTATTGAAGGTCCGATTGGTCTATAAAGATACGAGTCTAGCCTTGTTTGCCCAGTGCACCTCTGTAGAGGACTGTTTCACTTTTTGTTAGTTATGTGTTAGATAATAACTGAGTCGTCATCAGCTACTTTTAAAAGGGGAAAAAAGAATAGACCCTCTGCTTATTCAATAGCATGTCATAAGAGTCGACTAATTGGGGGCTTCCTTCAAAGTCGAAGTGCATCTGCCTGAGGGCCAGGAACCAGCAGTCTGCATTCAAATGAGTCAGATCCGTAAAACGGATGCACACACAACACTAAGGTTTTGGAACAGAACAACCAGAACTTTTCACCAGAGTTTGCAGCTGGTGAACGCGAAGAATAAGAGGTTTTGTAGATCACATTTTTTTAAGAATTGTGAGTCATACTTAAGAATTTTGAGTCACAGTCTAACTTGTGATAATCGAGTTCCCACCAAGATCAGGAGCATGTCATGGATTTTCTGCCCTGTATGTTTGGGTGTGCAGGGTAATGAGCAGGTTATAGATTGACTGCTGCTGTTCCTCCCAGGGGCTGGCTACTATATTATAAGGAGAATGTGGTGAAAGCACTTTGGGATCAGTCGCATGAGGATGTTCGTGTGCGGTAATAATAATAGCTAATTGATTGATTCAGCAAGTTGCTGCATAGCATGTCAAGGGGAGGGAACAAGCTGGAAAATCATAGATTATGCAAGTTTTGGTTCTTTATTAATAACCTACCCCAAAGGACGTCACACGACAGCCCAACATTTTAGAGGGTGGTAAGACTGGGTCTCCCGGCTATCTGAAGCTTTCAATGACCCCAAAACATCTAGAACTATCCCTAACCCCAACCCACCTACGTCCCCCGACTGCATGCAGCCTATCTACGACTCCCTGAAATATTAGACTGTCCCGTGACCTGTGGATATCCCCTGTTTGGGGTGCGATATTAATAAAGCACCTAAGTTTTTACCAATTTTTAAATGTATCTAAATAGGGTCAGATCTTTATGAATTTTGCATGGGTCTTCCTTATCTATCATACAAACACGAAATCACAGAGAGTTATGTATATTTTTGCAATACTTATTTCCATTTGATCACGGTGCATGTGTCTTTAATGAGTAAACTTGTTGCAGTAGTGATGTCAATCCTGCTAAAATACTGTTGATATATGCAGTTAGATGTTTATCTAGCTGCTCAGATATAGATAAGCTAATGCTGACCAGATTACCCACCTAGTGCCGATTGTCTGTAAAAAAAAAAATGGGTGCTCTTCCCTTATGCCTGATGTGCCTAAAAGACGTGAAATGGAATCTTTACTTACTTTATAATCTGAACCAAATGTCAAATCTGTTTACTTATATTGAATTCCAGAATTTTCCAAATGTTTCATAAAATTATAACTCAAAGTTAAATGTTGACCACAAATGTGGGGTGGTTAAATTCGGCATGAATCAACCAGAATCTACTGAAGAACATGACCTCCATGTGTTGATCACTTTAGCACAGAAATGTTGAAATGATCCTGACAACAGTAACGCACATGAATAAAAAAAAGTAAAGTAAAGATCCCTTTTCACGCCTTTCGGCGCATCGGGCATATGGGCAGAGCGTCTCATATTTTTACAGACCATCAGCACTCTGTGGGTAATGTGGTCAGCATTACGCCGGCTGTCTTTACTTTCCCAGGACAGCCCATCCTGGTACCCATTTTAGGCTGGGTCGACCTGCGACGTCCCATACCATGATAAAAATCCACGCAGCCTGCAGTGGGTTTCGATTGCGGTATGCTGGCTTACGAGTCGGACTCGCAACGCCTTAGCCACGGACGCCGCCGACGCACATGAGTAATAACATTATTTTGAGAAATTGCCTTGGAAGTTTTGTATGAGATGAGCGCGTTGATTGGCTGAAGTAAGCATATCCTTAATATATTTGTCCAACAAAATTTTTTATTTTATGGTGTGTCTCTCGAGGTTGTTTGTACAGGCCTCATGAAATGTAACAGTTTGGAACATAAATCAAGTCTCTAAGTCAACTACAGATTTCAGATTTTTCAGATTTTGTGCCTACATAATGAGCACGAAACGTGCAGGTGAAGATTTTATGTTGCCCTCAACACAAAAAAATGCCCAGTCTTACCTAGGATTGGAACCCGGGTTCCCTGCGCAAGAGCCCAACGTTCAGCCAGCCACTTCTCCTGAGCATAAAAGCGTTAGATAAATGTGTTACGCATGCTTCAAAGAATGCAGAAATAGAGCTCTAAAACAAATTTTTTGTTTGTTTTTGGGTACTGATTGATTGATTGATCAACTTTCAGCACAGCATGTTTGTTGATGATTGATTCACAATAAAATATTTGATGATCAAGTTCCCACATTGCAAAAGAGTGGTAGTGAACAGTAGTGAGCCACAGTCTAATAATACTTGATGATCAAATTCCTAATACAATTTTATAAATGATTGATTCACAGTTCACCACTTACTAAGTTCTCACATGGCATGTTATTTAATTAATTATAGATTCATTATTCATCATTTGATAGTGTTTGATTGTTTAGCCGCACGTCTGTTAAATATAGATTCATTATTCATCATTTGATAGTATCTGACCGTTTAGCCGCACGTCTGTTATATATAGATTCATTGTTCATCATTTGATAGTGTCTGATCGTTTAGCCGCATGTCTGTTGAATATAGATTCATTGTTCATCATTTGATCGTGTCTAATCGTTTAGCTGCACGTCTGTTAAATATGCTAACCCATCAGTGTTGCAAGAAGTTCTAGCATCACACGTCTTACTTGTAGACACATTGTTCATTTTTGGCCTGCGTCAGTTAAGGACTTTAATGATTGTGAATTTAACTGTAAATTAAGGAGTTTATTGTCTGAACATTTGACTTTAAATTAAGGAGTTTATGTGTTAGATAATAACTGAGTCGTCATCAGCTACTTTTTCAGAAAAAAGAAAGATTGGCTGCAATGGATTCCTAACACTGTCTGTCTGTTGTACACGTAAGACACTCTGAAACACGGCCTCGAGTGCTAGAGGTTCCGGGTTCAATCCCCAGTAAGGGCTGGGATATTTTCACGTGCACTTGGGCTTCTAGTAATTCCCCCTGGTCTCTGGGTAGTGTGATCGCACACCGGTGTGCATTGTTGCGCACGTAAAAAAATGTCTTGGCAGTTGGAAATTGAAAAGAATAACCTAACAGCACTGCCCGGTAAAAATTTGGAGTTACAAATCTTCCCAAAGTATTTCAGGATCCTCACCGGTGCTACAGAGCCTGTGCACCGTGTGAGCTTCTTTGGACTCAGACTTGAGTTAGAAAAAGAACAGAGCACTTATGGGTTACTGTGTGCCATGATGTTGATCCTTAGTTCAAACCACAAAACCTCAAACTGCGATCTGTTCATATGTTAATGTTGTCTTCATCTTTGTAAGACCTTTTAGTACAATTGTTAGCTTTTCACAAATAGTTATTTATATCTGTTAACACTCTACAATTATAGATAATTGTTAACTTTCTACAAATATGACTGATAATTGTTAACTTTCTGCAAATAGTTATTGATGACAATTAACTCTCTAAAGATATTTATTGATAATGTTTACACTCCACGTATAGTTTTCTACGAATCAGTCAACATTTTACAGATAGTTATTGGTGACTTTGTTAACACTTTAAATATTGTTATCATCAGCTTTGTTAATACTCCACAAATAGAGAAGCTTCTGACTTGTAAACTTCAAATTGTTTGTTCCAGGTTCAGAGGAAGATCAGGAAGCCACAGAGATGTTGGTCGGCAATGCCCAGAACCTGATGCAAGCAGTCAAGGAAACTGTACGCAGTGCGGAGGCTGCCTCTATCAAGATCCGTGTGGATTCTGGATACACCATCCGCTGGGCTCGCAAGCGACCCTGGTATACGTAAATCAACACAGAAATACTTTTAGAACCTTAGGCTAGTGAAAGATGATGTGCTAAAACAAATGTATTGGCTCGGGGAATCGTTCTTTTTGTCATTGTAATGTAAAACTCAATATAAGGGATCTCCAGTATTATGGAAACCACAAATAATGTAAATTACTATCCTTTCTATTCTCATATATGCAGTCATGTCTAACCCATAACTGGCTCCAGCTGACACGCCCTGTTGCTGATGTCACCGGGTCGGGCTAACGATGCGTTAACGCAGCGGTTCTCAAACAAGAGAAAAACTATTTTCGACAGTGGCGAGGGAAGACAAGTAAAATTAAAACTTTTAAGTATTTACTTGCCTTCTTTAATAATTTCACAATTTTTAGCCCACTTTTTAAAAATTATTGCCGTGGCATCCCTGGCATACGCTCATGGCACCCAGTTTGAGAACCACTGCGTAAACGCATTGTTAGCCCGACCCGATGACATCAGCAGCGCGGCCTCTCAGCTGAAGCCGGTCATGACTAACCCATGTGGGTTTCCGACAGTTTCTTAAACTGTAGCTTATTTTCCATTTCGAGTCTTCAGTTTATTTATCTTGGCTCTTTAACAAATTTACGAGGGATATTGAGAATTGAATGCCTCAAATTTGTATTCTCCATGAATAATGCAGGTAGAACATGAAATTGTCCACACTTCAGGTTTGAAGTGTCAGTATTGTAGGTATGAAAAGACAACTCATTTTGACAAAAAGAACAGCCGCTCTAAACCGTTAAAATGGCATGCATAGACAGTTGTGCATTTCCAACTGAATTGTAAAATTTTTGGCTGTAGAAGAAGAAAAACCTGGTGAATATCCATAAATGTTTGGATGCTGTTTATGGAAGTTGTGCAGTTGATAGAAGCACCGTGGGTCGCTGGATTTGCTATGAAGCAATGTATCATCATCAAGTGCCTTGCCAACTGGCATGTGTGATTATGCCTCTCCACAATCTGCGATCTACAGCTGTGTGTATCAGTTTGTGTGTTGACATCCCTCCATGACAAAAGACCATCAAGAATCTTCTCGTGCTGTCTTCCCCTGTCTCTCTTTCCACTGATCTTTCCAGTGGTCACAACACGTTCCATTTTCCCTCTTCTCATAACATGACCCAAAAAAATGATGACTGTCTCTTTCTGTTTGTGATAAGTTTCTTTGAGCATTTGCCTCTTTCAAAACATGAAGCAATGGATACCTAAACAAAACAAAAAAATCTGTCACAAGCAAGGCAGACATGTCTTGTATTGGTGTTAGTTCAAAGAAATAGATAGAGATGATACATAACATTCAGATAGTAAAAGGACACAGTGAGATGTATTGTCAGAGAATTTGATACTTTTCTCAGCAGTTTGTAAGAGAAACAAAATATGGGACATTACTTTCTGAATGCCATTTATCAAGATTAGTGTAAGCATGTTTCTTCTGTTAATTTACTTACTTGTAAGTGTTCTAGTACTAAGTCAGGGCTGGGTCCATCTGTCCCCCCAACCTTGACTGGGTTTTATTTACATGATCACTGGGACAGCATGCCTGCATTAAAAGGAAGTAAAAATGATTTGACTACCTTGGTTGCCAAAAGTTCAAGACCACTTAGTAAATAATTGACTTTTACCTGATTAATTTGTTTCATTATTGTATTCCTTTTTTATTATATTATTTTTATACTAATTTATTTATGATTTCCATTACTTTTATGGAGTATTTCATCAATGGCTATTTGAGGGCAGAATGATGACTGGAGTGACTGCCTCCGGTGGGTCCTAAAAAGCAGTAAATGTATTATTCTGTTCAAAAATGAGTTATTTACTAGGCGGTCCTAAACTTTTGAGCACCATTGTACATTCAGAACCCAAGCAGAAATAAACTGTCATTGAAGATTTAAACTAGAGTATAGTATGATTAATATTTAAAAAAAAAAAAAAAAAAAGGCAGTGCCATCTCCACAAAGTAGGTTGGCTGTACAACAGCCATTGCTGTCTGTAGCTAAGAACAGTACGCTGCGAGGCCTCTCATTTTATATGGTAGGTATATACGTGTTCAGTTTGTAGTTGAAATGGTCATAACATTGATAAAGTGCCTTCTCTTGTTTTATTTCTAAAATGTATTTAAAAAACATTGTTTTTTCCCCTTGCTTTGATAGTTTTCAGTTTTATCCTCTAGAAATATAATCACCAGTAAATATATTATTTCATTCGTCACTGAAAGCTGTAACTTTTGTTTCTGAGGATATGTTGATTTATTTTAAATGGTGTCTCTCTCCCAAAGGTCAAAGTATAACAAATGTCAGATGAACCGACCATAAGCTTTTCGCACTAGTTGTGAAGGTAGTCAGCTGAATATCTAATTTGCCAGCGCAGCCACAATATAACACTAAATCTCACAGTACCTGTTGAGATTCACCATATCGTCTTGTCCCTATCGAATCCAGTTAAGTGCAGGAGGGTAAGATTGGGGCCTGGCTTCATGACCCAGGTCGGCCCAATTTTCGAGATTGTTTAGGGAAGCTGTGGGCCCAAACAATTATCTACGAAGGATCTCTACTGATGACCGGTGGACCCCTACTGTGCCTGCTCCCACGTGGAGTTCTTTTTATTACTTAAACACCTGTGGTTTCATTCATCATGTACCTCTTCCTCCTCTTCTTCCTACCGGCTATTTATTACTGTTTTTCTTTACATAAAGAATGTGGAAAATGCCATATGGTTGAATTGGGTTGTTCATGTTCTTTTGAATTTTACTGCTGCTAGTTGTTCACAAGTTCCTTACTTTCATTGTGACGTTTAGATTTGGGACTCTGGCTGCCAAAGATAGGAATATCTTTTTTTAAAATATTATATTAAATATTTCTGACACTTTGCTTGTTCTGTTATAAACTCCTATGCACTTTGCTTATTCTGTTATATATTTCTGACACTTTGCCTATTCTGTTATAAACTCCTATGCACTTTGCTTTTTCTGTTATATATTTCTGATGACTTCATGAAACAGAATTCTAAACCTTATTTTTGGGCTAATCACACAGATAAGTGGAGATGGGTAATATCTGCAGCAATGAACCCCCAAGGTCTTAGGATGCAGAAAAAGAAGAAGAAGAAGAAGAAGAATAAGAAGGAGGAGGAGAAGGGAAAAAAAAGAAGAAGAAGACTTAGGAAATGATCAATTGGATTTGGCTAACATGTTGGAAGCTACTGTTTACCTTTGCTGATAAGATTCTGAGAATTTTGCTGCATTTCATGTGAGATGTGTGCACACACTGTTAGGGCGTTTGATTGTATTAGGACTTATCTCATATTTTGTGCTTCATTTATTTTACTCACACTTTCTGGACTTTGTTTATACACCTCATGTTAGTGGAGAGAAAGATTGCAGTGGGTTGTGGTTTTTTTGTTGGTTGCACTGTTGTGTCAGGGAGGCAGGATAGTTTTTGTGGGTGTTTTGTGTTGTGATTTTGTTAAAGATTTTAATGATACTTGTAGTGGTAAAGATTCTAATGATGTTTTGTGATTGTAGCAGCACACAGTTTGATGGTTTTTGTGTGTGTGTATGCTTCAAATTGTGATATTTGTGGGAAAGTAGCACTAAAGATTTTGACGGTGTTTTGTGGTGGTAACTAAAGATTTTGGCGATGTTTTGTGGTAGCAATGATGGTTTTTAGGGCGTTTGCAGCAGCCACAATTTGGATGCTCTTCTATGATGGTAGCAGCAAAGATTGTGATGGTATTTTCTGGTAGTGGTATTAAAAACTTCTGACGGTGTTTTGTGGTAGTTGTTTTGTCGTGATAAAGATCTTGGTCGCACTTGTTCTCCCTCACCTGGATCTACACACTTGGTCATGCTAGTGTAAAGGGAATAAGTGAGCGGAACAACTGGCAAGCAATGCACCAAGGCATGTGGAAAATGCAGGGACAGAGCAGATATTATCAGCGCTGTACAGGCTGTGCTAGCAGATGATGACGAATCTCTGACACTAACACGATTAGGTGACATGGGAGAAAAGCACGATAAAACACATCTATGCCACCTTTGAGGTCGAGATAGTAGACATTGTATCCAAGCATTTAGTAGAAGTACCTTGGAGTGGTTTGCTGCATTTGAGGACTGAGCATTCATGGGAATGCCGAATGTGCAGTGATAACGTAACATAACACTCACAAGTGATCTCCCTTACTGCCACTCTGCAGCTTATCTGCCCTTGGCATCCAATGTCATTTCCCTTCCTTCTGCCCTTGGCATCCCATGTCATTTCCCTTCCTTCTGCCCTTGGCATCCCATGTCATTTCCCTTCCTTCTGCCCTTGGCATCCCATGTCATTTCCCTTCCTTCTGCCCTTGGCATCCCATGTCATTTCCCTTCCTTCTGCCCTTGGCATCCCATGTCATTTCCCTTCCTTCTGCCCTTGGCATCCCATGTCATTTCCCTTCCTTCTGCCCTTGGCAACCCATGTCATTTCCCTTCCTTCTGTCCTTCTCTAGTATTCCTAAGATCCTCCTTGCCTCCTTCATTTATCCAACATTAGCCTGATATCTGTCCTTGCCAAAGTGTCATGAGGCATACTGCAAACATGACCAAGCCATCTTCACCTTCTTCTTTGATTGTGTCTTTTCTGTAGCTCTATAAATTAAATAGGTTGTGAGATGTTTAGTTGTAGCATTACAATCACATTAAGTTGTGCTTGCCATTACAGTTAAGTTTATGATCACTGTTACAGTATAGTTTATGATCACTGTTACAGTAAAGTTTATGATCAAGTGTCTCCTCTATACTAATATAACTTAACGTAAGGTTGTGTGTTGTGAGCAGGTTGATTTTTTTTCACACTTTCTGGTTTTGTGATAATTTTATTATTGTTATATTACTATTATGATTATTATTATTATTATTATTATTCACTGTACGTCCAGTGCCTAATGAACGAAGTCAGCCGTCTTCTGATATAAGCATATGTGTTTTTATTTTCTGTCAATGTGTATTAA